CCTGCTCTGTTCTCCACATCCTTACTAGGACTCACGCCACCCCTGGGACAGGACCTATCCTACACACAGGAGGGAGCGAGGGTTCCCAGGAACCATCAGAGATGATACCAGTTCTAATACCAGGACTCGTATGGGAAACAAGCACCCTCAGGAGCTCCGAGTCTGATGGGAGAGACATCATTCCTCTGAAGCTTCCAGTCTGATGAGGGAGATATGGCGCCCACTGCAGAAGCCTGTCTGATGAGGGAGACACAGGTCTCCCTCTCAGGAGCCCCATTCTGATAGGGGTAGTACATCCCTTCCCTTAGGACTTCCCAATCTGATGGAGGAGTCATGACCCCACCCCCTAACCCACAAGCACCCAGTCTAATGTGGGAAACATCGTTTCCATCCTTAGGATTCCCTTATGGGAAAGACCTAATTTCAGCACTTAGGGAACCACTAGGCTAATAGAGGCGAGAAGGGAGGAAAAAGCTCAGTCCAATTCAACAAATCTCTGCCAGACATCTCCTATGAACCAGACCCAGAGGTGGATAATGGACCATCAAACAGGAAACAGAAATAGCCCTGAACCACAAGGAGCTTAAAAGCTGGGGACCAAAGACACTTGGGGTATGAATGAATAAGAAAGTGCCTTGAAACCCACCCACTCCAGCACCCAAGGACTACTGGCTAGGTCTGCCCACTCCTCTACAGCTTCAGCCCTCACACACCCACACCTGCGCCCAGTATCTGTACTTTGGCATAGGACATATCATGTTCTTCTCTCTGGAACATCCTTCTCCTGCCTAAGCAAGCTTTTCTCATGCTCCAGCACCCAGCTCAGGGGCCACCTCCTCCAGGAGGCCTTCCTCAAGTCCTCCAGCCTGAGTCAGATGCTCCTCCTTTCAGAAGCCAGCACAGTGCATGCCTTCCCCTGGGATCAGCTCACATTCCACCAATGTTCCTCCACCCCTCAAGCCTGGGCCTGAAAGGACAGCACAGGGCAGTGGTCTTCTGCCTCTCGAAATAAGGCAGAGAAGGGGTTGGATGGGATAACCTCCCCTCCCCCACCACCAGGTCCCCACACCCACAGCCCCTACTGTTCCCAGCTCAGGACCTCACACCTTCCTCTAAGAGGCTCAACCTCAGCTCCAGGCCATAGAAAAGCAGGGTTGTCCCCATCTCTCCTCTGCCTCCTATCGTCCAGCTTTGCCCTCACCACTCCACCATCACCAGCCCCTGCCTTCTGGCTAAATCCGAGGGGTCTTGCTCCAGCTCATCCTCTGTGGGCCCTTCCCTGCTTCTTTGGTTCCCATGATATGGCCTTCCCTCAGTTTATCTCTCTTCTCTCCATCTTCAAGCACTGGTGCTCACCAAGGCCCCAGGTATGCCTGATCATCCTCTCTTCATACTCCACACCTTCTTCCTGCATGATGTCACCCACACTCCACAAGTCAACTACCATACCATCTCTGCACCAAAGACATTCCAATCCCACCTTGATCCCTACCCTGAGACCCAGACCCATCTATGCAGAAACTTCCCTACACCTTCGTCAACTTCCAGTCTACAGCCCACTGCCCTGGCTCCCCTGCCAAGCTGCTCCCACCCCTGCAGGCCTCAGCGAGATGGCCAGCAGAGTTGCTTTGGCAGCAGTAGAGGATGGCCTGGCAGAGGCCAGGAGGCCACCTGGGGCATGCTGTCTCCCAGCCTGCTTTTCTTCCATTGGCTCAACCCCAAAGTGTTAGAAGACCCAACTCAGAGACCAGCCTGGAATCAGGGATCAGAAACAGTGGGCCAGGCTCGATGCTACCACTCCCAGCAGCCCCACGAGCAGCCCTGGCCAAAGCCACAGGACTTTCCCCTGTTCCAGCCAACATGGGTCATACAGTGCTTAACCGCCAAGAGAAATGACAGCCAAGGCTCACAGAAAGCTGGTGATTCCACATGCCCATCACAGATGCCTCCTCCTCCCCAAAAAATGAGAGTTCATAAACATCTGCAGGAAAGGAAATTCCATTCCATCCCATTGTCTTTCAGGAAGTCCCTACTGTTGTCTAATCTGATCCTTACGTTGCCTACCCAGCCAACATGGGTCATACAGTGCTTAACCGCCAAGAGAAATGACAGCCAAGGCTCACAGAGAGCTGGTGATTCCACATGCCCATCACAGATGCCTCCTCCTCCCCAAAAAAGGAGAGTTCATAAACATCTGCAGGAAAGGAAATTCCATTCCATCCCATTGTCTTTCAGGAAGTCCCTACTGTTGTCTAATCTGATCCTTATGTTGCCTATTGCCTACTGAGTTAGTGGGAAGAGCAAGGCCAGGAAGGGATGTACAACTTGAGGCTGGGGCCTGCCAGAGAGGCCACCTGAGAGTCAGACAAGCCCCCTTCCCTCTGGGTGAAAGCATGGAGGAGCAGAGAAGGCTTTGTGGCAGACAGCCCTGTGTTCAAATGCTTGCAGACTGAATGGCAGTGGACAAATTCCTTAATCTCTCCTCATCTGTTTCCTCATCTATAAAATGGGAGCAACGATCCCTAAATGACTAGATCACTGGGAGAATCCAGTGAGATTAAGCATGCAATTCTAACACATACCAGACACCCCACAAAGGCTCAATCAGCAAGGCTGATAGACTCCACTTCCTTATTTACTCTTATTTCTCAGTTCCATCTTCTCTGCAGTCTTGGTTCAGATCTCACAGCCTTAGTTCCCAGGCTTCTCCCCAACTTCCTCACTGTCTCCCTGCTTCCAGGCCTGTTCCTCCCATCCCCCCTCCTCACCACTGCCAAAGGCATTGCTCTGAAATGAAAATCTGCTCCTACCCCTCCACTGCCTCACACTCTTCTCTGAATCACCACCACCAATTTTAGGAGGAAATCCTCTCGCCTCAGCGTGACATTCCCAGGCTGTGGATGGATAGTGGTGTTTACCCCTTAAGGCTCACCCACCACCCCCAGCCCAAACCCCAGCCTGCACATGTTGCTTCATGCCTCCAAGCCCTTGCACATTCTGCCCCCTCTGCCAGGAATGACCCGCCTAGTCTCACCCCCTTGACCCCTCATCCTTCCAGATGAAGCTCAGTAGCTCCAACACAACCTCCTCCCCAGGAAAGCTTCCTTTGTCATGTCCCCTGCCCGGGTCTGGGTTGTGGACGCCTCCTCAGGCCTCCCACAGCACATCACCCTGCATTATAATCACCTGCTCTCTCTAAATCCCTTGGAGACAGAATGGACTCATTCATCTCTGAACCCCCAGCCCACCGGCACTCAGAAGGCACTCAGTCAACATTTGTTGAATGAATGGATGACTGTTCCCAGAGCACCTTCTTATAGCAACCACCATACTCCTGCCTATAATTAGTCCTGTCTAGGTATTCATCTCATCCCCTCTTTCCCCCTTGACCTGGGAGTTCCTAGAGGACAGTGACCGTTTCTGATTAATTTTCATTGTCACTTTCGTATGGGAGATGCAACATCAGCTGGAGGGATGAATGTAATGACTCCTGATCCTCAGAGTATTGGATATTTGCAGTGTCTACTGAGTCACTGATAAAGTTCCCACGACTTATGGAACAAGACAGGGTACAGCCTATTATTGATTTTGCCCTTCTCTTCCAAATTACTTAGGAAACTGGAAAGGGAGAGAGAGTCCAGGTGGGAATGCAAGGGAGTCTGAGGGGGAGGGCAGAGCCACCATCAGGTGTAGTTTAGCCAGGCCTTAGCCCAGGATCAGGCAGCAGCTCCACCCCTACCCATAGAATTCAGTAAACACAAGGAGAGCCTTGAAAAATGTAAGTATTGGGCCGGCCCGTGGCTTACTCGGGAGAGTGCGGTGCTGACAACACCAAGGCCCCGGGTTCGGATCCCATATAGGAATGGCCGGTTCGCTCATTGGGTGAGCGTAGTGCTGACAACACCAAGTCAAGGGTTAAGATCCCCTTACCGGTCATCTTTAAAAAAAAAAAGAAAAATGTAAGTATTGGTAGCTCCAATTTTCAGGTAGCTCCAATTTAAAGCTAAGGTTCATAAAGGTAAAGGCAATTGCTAACGTCCCCAATGTCCACCAATGAGTTAGAGGCAGAGCAGGGGGAGTCATGGAAAAAGCTCTAGCCCCAGAGACAGGGTCTCCAACAGGT